CCCCAGGGAGAGGCTGTGGCTGCCCCAAGGAGGTCCTGGTTGCCCCAGGGAGGTTGTGGTTGCCCCAGGGAGATGGTGGCTGTCCCAACCCTGTCACTGTCCATTCCAGGTTGTCCCAAGCCTTGCCCAACCTGCTCTGGTGGGAGGTGTCCCTGCCCAGGGCAGGAGGTTGGGGCTGGATGATCTCTAAGCTCCATCCCAACCCCTTAACCCACTCTGAGCATCTCCCTGTGGCTTCAGGCTGTAGAGATCTTCACCCAGAGCCTCCAGCACAGAGTTTGGGGAAGGGGGGGGAGATGCTCCCGGAGGGAGTTGTCCCCTCAGAGCAGATCCTGCCCCAAGGCAGAGCCTGCCCAGAGCCTCCTGGGTGTGTTTGGGCCTCTCTGTCACCTCTTTGATGTCTTGCCTTGATTGATCTGGAGTAAACTCCTCTCTGGCATCCCTGAAATGTCAGGAATCCCAGGCCTGGACTTGGAGCTCTGCGAGTGGTTTGTGTCAAGTGTCAGAGCAGCAGGAGCTGCTGAGCTGGGACTCACCCCAAGCCTCAAAGCGACTCCTGGGGCAGCTCCAACCTTTATCCTGGACCTTCTCACCCTCCCTGGGGCTTCCTCTGGTCCAAACCCTTCCCCAGGGAGGCTGTGGTTCCCCCAAGGAGGCTGTGGTTGCCCCAAGGAGGCTGTGGATCCTCCAAGTCACCCAAACCCTTTGGATCTCCCCCCACATCTCCTCTAACCCCTTGTGCTGTCACCTCCCTCTTCCTCGCACCTAAATGACCTGTGTGTTCCTTTCCAGGTGAGGTTCCTGGAGCAGCAGAACAAGATGCTGGAGACCAAGTGGAGCCTTCTCCAGGACCAGAAAACCACCAGGAGCAACATTGCTCCCATGTTTGAGACATACATCAACAACCTGCGGAGACAACTGGACGGGCTGCTCAGCGACAAGGGGCGCTTGGAGGGGGAGCTGAAGAACATGCAGGACCTCGTGGAGGACTTCAAGACCAAGTAATGTATCATCTGTCCATCTCAAAAAGGGCTGGTGGAGCTGCCATCTCGGCTGGGACATCCCCATCTCTCCTGGGAGAGAGGGAGATGCTCTCCAGGCAGGAATTAGGTGCTTAGTGGAGAGAAACCACACGGAATCTTCTTGGTTGTTCTTCTTGGTGACTTGATGCCTCATGGGCAAGTGACTCCAGGCTCTTGGCTTTGCTCTGTTTGGGGCCACCTCAGGGTTGGACCTGGTGATTTGGGGTCAGCTCAGGGTTGGAAGTGATGATTTTGAGACCTCCTCAGGGTCAGAACTGGAGTTTTGGGGCCACCTCAGGGTTGGAAGTGTCACTTTGGGGCCACCTCAGGGTGGGAACTGGAGTTTGGGGGCTCCTGAGTGCCTGAAGTGTCACTTTGGGGCCACCTCAGTGCTGAAAGTGGAGTTTTGGGGCCTCCTGAGTGCCTGAAGTGTCACTTTGGGGCCACCTGAGTGCCTAAGTGTGTCTTTGGTGCCTCAGGAGCTCTGTGGGTTTGGCAGGTGACGCTCCGAGTGTTCCTGGGCTGTGCCTGGAGCAATTCCCTGACCCATTCCCACCCAACCCCACCCGCTGGGAGGAGCCTCGGGAAGAAAGTGTCCTTTGTCCCTGCCCAACCCAGCGGGGAATGCTGTCCAGGAAGGGCCAAAGTGGCTCCGGCAGGAGCTGAGAACAAAGAGCTGTCAACCCCAGGAACGGAACACCCAGAGATTCCCAAACTGGTGCTTGGGAATGAAGTTTCCCTCAGCTCTGCTCAGGTTTTCCTGCTCTGGGCTCAGCCAAGGAGTTGGTTTGGAGGCAAAGGAGACAAGTTTGGGTCCATTCCCTGTGGGGTCGAGGGGAAGGTTTAGTCCTTCAGGTTAAGGATTCGTAGGAAGATCCATGTGGGAAGAGATGGGAGGAGGAATTTGGAGCAGGATGAGGATGGAGAGGGAAGGAGGACTGAGGAGCAGAAGGAGCAAAGGTCCAAGGAGTGATGGATTCCAATTGGAAGAGAACAAGGCTAGATGGGATATGGGGCAGGAATTCCTCCCTGTGAAGTTGCTGAGGAGCTGGGATGGATTTCCCAGAGATTGCTCCATCCCTGGAATCATCCAAGGACGCTTTGGATGGGACCTGGAGCCACCTGGGCTGGTGGGATGGGATGACCTTTCAGCTCCTTCCAACCCATCCCATGACTCCACGACTCATTGTCCAGCCTGGTGGAGCTTCCCCAGGCCCTGAGGGCTTTGATGACCATTCCAGAAGATTTCAGTCCTTCCTCCTCATCTCTCCTGTGTGGACATACCATGACCACATCCCTTCCTCATCCTCTACTCCTCCACCCCAGCCCTGACCACACTCCCAAGGGCCAATGTCCACCTCTCCCAGCATGGTTGGGCACAATTCCAGGAGAGCAGGTGCAGGAAGCTGAAGGTGAAGCTGTTTTGGGAGGCAAATGACACCTGAGGCCACCCAAGGGCTGAGTCAACAAACAGTTCTCACTTAGCAGCAGCAGCAGCTCCAAAACAGCCCAAAGGTTCCTGCTCAGACCTTGGATGACTTTCAGGTGTCCCAGGGTTGGGTGTGCACTGAGCTCTGAGCTCTGAGGTCCAGGTGTGAAGGTCAGTGGTGATTCTCCTGTTGGATCAGGGGAGGGACATTTTATCTGCTGAGGATCTGGAGGGGAGAACCTCAAGGTCCTACAGGGAACACCTCAAGGTCTTCAGAGTAGCACTTCAAGATCTGTAGGTGAACATCTAATCTTCAGGTGAACCTTTCATCTGTAGGTGAACACCTGAAAATCTTTAGGTGAACACCTGAAGATCTTTGGGTGGTCACCTCACCTTTAGGGGAACATCTGAAGACCTTCAGGTGAACATCTGAAGATCTTCTGGTGAACACCTAAAGAAGGAACATCAGCAGGATTGAGCAGGTGCTTGGATGAGCACAGAGGACCTTGTTGGTCTTTGCATCTCTTCTGCATCACATTTGCTCTCTCAAGGAGTCAGAAATAGCCCTGAGATCCTCAGGCCGAGGCTGCAGCTCTCCAGGGCTGAGGAGCAGCAGAACCTTCTGGAGTACAGTGAATCCTTGGGATGTGGGTCAGAGATACCTCCAGGGGTGGTGGTGGTGGTGGTGGTGGTTATGGTGAGGACCAGAAGAGCTTTGAGGCCTCAGCTCATCCCATCAGGAGCTGTGGGACACAACAGGTTCCTGAGGGCCAAAGTCCTCCAGGCTCAGGGAAGTTCTGAGGTGGAGCAGGAAGAGATTTGGGATGACCTTCCATGGGATGTTTTTCCCTTTCCTCCTTGACAAACTCCTTCTGGTTTCTCGGCAGGTATGAGGATGAGATTAACAGGCGAACGGCGGCAGAGAACGAGTTTGTGGTGCTCAAGAAGGTGAGTGTGGTGGGTCATGGATCATCCAGATCTTTCTTTGGGCTTGTTCCTAAGGTGTCCATGTCCAACCTGACCTGGAAGATCCAGGAGATCCTCAGGATCCTTCCCACAGCAGCACTTCATCCTCTGGGAGAAGCTGTTTGGGCCATGGTGTGTCCTTGGCCATGGGGAGGGGCAGAACAACCTTGGAGAACTCTTCCATGGTCACAGCTCCATGACCTCAGTGAGTTATCCCTGTTTTTTTCCAGGATGTGGATGCTGCCTACATGAACAAGGTGGAGCTGGAGGCCAAGGTGGATGCTCTGACAGATGAGATCAACTTCCTGAGGGCCTTCTACGAAGCTGTAAGGACCTTTGGGCTCCTCTTCCTCCCACCAGTAGGGGAAGGACTGGGAATGGTGACTGGGAAAGGGAATGTGCTCCTCCCAGGGATGGGAAAGGGGTGAAGACACGGAGCCTTCTAGGAGTAGAACTAAGGCTCCAAGCAAATTCCTTTGGCTCCCCATGGATTGCCCCTCCCTGTCTGGGCTGGGACATGGATTGGTTGGTAACAACCAGGATAGACCTGATTTGGGGGATGGAAATATGGACAATGGGTGGATTGTAGTGCTGGAATGTTTGGGTGAGAGGAAGGACACGAAGATGTTTGTCCCAAGATTCTTCTCCCAAAGCTTCTTGTCCCAACTCCTTCTTCTTCCCAGAGCTTCTTGTCCCAACTCCTTCTTCTTCCCAAATATCCTTGTCCCAAGCTCCTTCCTCCTCCCCTTTATGTCCAAGGCAAAGAATTCCTTGAGCTGGCCACGATTCCTTGGGAGAGAGGTTGGAATTTGGCCCTCAACCTGTGGGACCAGTTGGGTTCCTCCCGTAGGAGAAGGGAAAACCAACCCTGAAGTCCCAAAGTGTGGGATAAACAGCTCCTGTTTCTCCTGCTTTTCCTTTATCCTATGACTTCCTCCAATTAAAGACCATCTTGATGGGAACCTTCTCCTCTACCTTCCCCTTTCCTTCTTGGATTCTCCCCTGAATTCCCAAAGGCACCTGAAGCTCAGGGACTGATGAGGTTGCTTCTCCTGCAGGAGATTAACGAGCTGCAGGCTCAGATCTCGGACACCTCCGTGGTCCTTTCCATGGACAACAACAGGAGTTTGGACCTGGACAGTATCATCGCCGAGGTCAAGGCGCAGTACGAGGACATCGCCAACCGCAGCCGCGCTGAGGCCGAGTCCTGGTACCAGAGCAAGGTGAGCACTGGGACAGGAGAAGGGAAACTCCAGGGAGACCTCAGAGCTCCTTCCAGTGCCTCGAGGAGCTCCAGGAGAGCTGGAGAAGGACCTGGGACAAGACCTGGGGAGATAGGACTAGGGGTGATGACTTCTAACTGGAAGAGGTTAGGGTTAGATGGGATGTCGGGAAGGAATTTCCCTGGGAGGGTTGGAATGGTTTTTCCAGAGGGTGTTCCATCCCTGGAATGTTCCAGGTTAGGTTGGATGGGGCTTGGAGCCACCTGGGCTGGTGGGAGGTGTCCCTGGGTGGGACTGGATGAGCTTTGAGCTCCTTCCAACCCATCCCATGACTCCACTGTATCCCATGGACCAGGAGTGGGAGGGAGGATTCTTTTCCCAGTTAAATCCCTCCCAACCTGACTCTGTCCTGTTGTCCCACTCTGGTTGGTGTCCCAGTACGAGGCTCTGCAGGTCACTGCTGGCAAACACGGCGATGACCTGCGCAACACCAAGAACGAGATCACCGAGATCAACAGGGTCATCCAGAGGCTCCAGGGGGAGATCGAGAATGCCAAGGCCCAGGTGAGGAGCTCCTCAAACCCTGCCCTGGAGCAGGAGAACTTCCAGGCACTGATCCCTTCTGAACAGGGGCAGAACCTGAGGGAACAGCTGGAGATGTGTCAGGGGAGGGTTTGGGTCTTCAGGAGAAGGTTCTTCCCTCAGAGGTGTTTGGGCACTGGGACATCTCCCCAGGGCAGAGGTCACAGCCCCAACTCTGACAGAGCTCAAGAAGCATTTGGACAACATTCCCAGGTGTTGGATTTTTGGGATCCATGAGATATTTAGGGTTGTCTTGTGCAGGATCAGGAGTTGGACTTTGCTCCTTGTGGGTCCTTTCCAGCTCAGCCTATTCCAAGACTCTCTGAGTCTTTCAGGGCCTCACACAACACCTTGGACTTGTTGGTCTTGGAGATCTTTCCCAACCTGGACCCAACAATCCATAAGAACCATTTTTGGGGGTGTCTGCACTGCTCATCCCAAAGGATTTCCCTCCTGCTGGGACAGGTGGAAGTGTCTCCTGAGGGACGTGACCCTCAAGGAGGTAAATTTGGAGGACAACAAGCCAAAACCAACCCTAGGGGAGACAAAGCAGAGCCTGAGGGCAATGCTGATGTGGCTCCACATGTTCCTCCTGCTGCTGGGTGGTTGTCCACTCCCTTTTTCCCAGCAGGGAACACCACAATTGGGCACACTGAGAGGAGATTTGAGACTCTCCAGGAGTCCTGTTTGCTCTCCAAGGGTTTGATCACCTTCTCCAGCTCTTGCAGAGCAGCTCAGGGAGTGATTGTCCATTCTGGGAGTAACCAGAGTAACCAGGGCTGGAGATAAAGGCCCATGAGTCACCTCTGGGTTTGTTTGCTTTCAGGGCAGGGAAGCTTAGACACACAGGGAGGAGCCAAGAGTTGACTCTGTGGTGCTCCTTCAACCAGCAGTGAGAGCACAAAGCCTTTTGTCAGCTCTTCCTGCCCAACTCGGGGCTGGGTTGGAGGTGTGGAGACACAGCTGAAGGTCCCAGCTTGGTGTGGCCCCACAGCTGAAGGTTCCACCTTGGTGTGGCCCCACAGAGGTGTTTTTTGGGGGGAGGTTTGAGGTGTTTGGTAGCTGCAGGTTTGCTCCAGCTCGTACTGGTCTCACCCCAAAGCTTGTTAGAGACCAACTGGCTCTGGACAGGCTTTGGGGCAGGTTAGGAGAGAAGACCTGAGGTTGTCTGAGCCTCATGTGAGGTGTGGGTGGGATGAGAAGCTGAGGAGAACTTCAAGAAAGGCTTTCACAAGTGGCTACCAGTGGAGAGAAACGTGGTCTAGGCTTTGGGGAGGTATCTCAGCCCATGCCAAAGTTGGCTGGGTCAAAATGGTCTTCAAGGTCCATCCCAAGCCCTTAACATACTATGATGAAGGACTTGGGATAGACCTTGAAGATGTGAAGATGCTGTGAGCGTGGGATGAGTTTCCTGTGCAGGTTGATC